GGAGAAGGAGAGGACGGGGGAGAGGTAGACAAAGGTGATCAGATGAAGTGATCTATGTCGGGATTGAGAGGGGGCGGAATAGGTGGAAGAAAGGCGGCCATTGCCGCAGGAGTCGTCGCCGCATCTTCCTCACGGAAATGATGTTGGATGAAGGAGGGGTAAAGGAAAGCCCCCGGCACATGAGAGAGGACACGTGGCGCCAGATCCGCCACCGCCCGCACCACCTGCTTGCGCACCGATCGGGGCCCTCGACCCGTCATCAGACTCGTCACCACATGCGTCTCGGTATAAGGCCGCCGCTCCCGCTTCTGCGCCGCGAAGACCAGGAAGTGGTACACCGCATTGGGACGCTGCCCAGTCTCGTAGATGAGCGTCCTGGCCAATCGTGCCGCAGTACACCCTTGAAAAGGGGGTGTTAGATATGGCTCCCACGCCGGATCAGGGCGTGGCGCCCCCGCGATGGCCTCGAGCCTAATGGTGGCGGGCTCCACCATGAAGTCTACCTCGGTCGGATGGAACGTCCGGCTTGGATGAACTACTAAGGTCAATGACCGGGGCATCCCGGGGTGGTTGGCGGGAACGGAGAGGTCCCGCGAGGATGGGGGGTCTGGATACGGGATCCGGATATCCCATTCGGCTTCCTGTTGATGATGGCCCGGCTCCATCAAGATTGAGGTCGGGCACACGCGGAATGGGCGGCGATGGCACGATAGTCTCCTTAACGAGCGTCGCCGCGCGCGCGGGCTGAATCACCTCCTCGCCGTCACCGATCCTGCTGCCTTGCGCTTGTGGCGACGGGTGGCGTCTCTTCCTCTTCGGCGTCTTCTTGGGGGCCTTTGGTGGCGCTGGCCGAGAGTACGATGAGCGAGGACGCAACGGCCTTTCCTCCGGGAAGTCCTCCAATCTCTCCACGCGCTGCGCAATGTAGTCCGGGGTGGCGACCGCGTTGTACGTTCTCCGCGGGGGCGTCGCCGTCCGCAATCGCGGTTGGATCTCCTCCTCCTCGCTCGCGATCACTTGAGCGATGGAGAGGAGCACAAGATGTATGAGCTCCAAAAATCCCGGATCGATCGTCTGAAGCTTGGCGAATGGGTACAGCGCTACCGTCCCTTCCTTCTCCGCTGACTTGGGTCGCGTGATGACGTAGTAAACGACGAAGTGCTCACCGGTAGCGTGGTCTTCGTGATCCATGAAGAACCGGAACATCCCCAGCGCCACCGACTTGTACAGCGCACGGTGCAACTCCCACGCGTCCTCGTCGGCGAAGGGCAGCGGCTCCACGTCAGTTAGCTCAACCAGGTACTCCGAGAACTCACGCATGGGGTAAGGGCCCGCCGTGAGCTGGTAGGGGAGGGTGGTGTAGGAGAACAAAGGAGGCATTTAGTACGGGACAGGGGAAATAGCTTGGAGATTGAGAGGAGCAGCGAGAGGGAGAAGCACGGGGAGCTGCGGCACCAACGCAATCGGCCCGTCCTCGGCCCTACGCAGCAGCACTTCGTGGGCTGTGAATCGGTGCCCGCTCCGTCCTTGCACTTTGGCCACTGATCTGGCCGCTTCTACCACGTGCTCACGCACAAAGCTGCGCGTCGGCTCCCGATTCTCCTGTGGGAGGATCGTCAAGTCTCCAATGAAGGTGGCGACGCTGTGCACGAAATTGGGTGCCACCTGGAGCGCACGGAACTCAATGAATACCCGGGTCGTCTCCCGGCCGGGCAACTGCGTCATGTCCACGTACACCCCCGCATACGTCAGGCGATCTCAAAGCAACGAGTATGCCGCCAAGTCAGCAATCCTGGGCGCTGGCACGTTCACCTGTTGGACGTCGTACCGCAACTGCCTCTCCTCATTAAACCGATGCCGCAACAAGCGATCTGCAAGCGGCGTTTGGAAGTGCTCGAGGGGCTCATGCTCCGGCTGGCGATGGTTCATCCTGCTCTCCGGCACTCTCAGCACCAATGGACGAGGCAGATCGAGAAGAGGAGGATGAAGAAGGAGAAGGTGATCGCGCAAGAGCGGGGGTCCGTAGGGGACCTAGCGATGGCTGGAAGGGCCGGAGCGCGGCAGCGTGCCGTGTCAGCGGCCGGGCCTGGGAGTTGTGTTGGGGAATCAGCTTCACGGAGTGCTGTCCCTGTGCGCCAACTTCCGTGACCTCGTAAATGCCTGTGTAGCGCGGGTGGATCTTGGAGGAGCGCGCAGATTTCCGTACCTGTACCAAGTCCCCAACTTTATAGCGGGGCAGTGGTCCCGCCGACGCGTGTCGGTTCTCGTAGTCCCGGATCTGCCGTTGATGCGTCCGATCTACGACCTGCTGTCGACGGCGGGCTAACAGGGGATAGGCCCTAGGCATTAAGTCCAGGTAGTGGCGGGCCTTGTCTCGATTCTGGGCCCGTGTTGCTCTAACTTCCATACCTACTAAGGGGGACAATTGCACCCGAGGGACACTATTGGTTCTCAGTTGAAAGGGGGACACCCCAGTACTACCGTGTGGGGTAGCCCGATAAACGGCCAAAATATGATCGACAATGACCGGCCGGGGTCGGGTGTCTCCCGCAGTGATATTCCGTCTAAGGGCCGTCTTAATCAGTCGGTTGGCATTTTCTACCAGGCCGTTGGCTTGAGGCCAATGCCCCAGCGAGTAGATAATCTTAACGTCCGCCCTGACTAAGTGACGTTCTACTTCGCCCTGAAATTCCGACCCACAGTCCATGTGTACCTCTTCTACGTCTAGATGCATGCACAAAAATCGATTTACGTACCAGGCTACTTCCTGCGAATTACGGCTGGTCATTGGGTACGCCTCGATCCATTTTGAAAAATGATCGACAACCACTAAAAGAACATTGAGTTATCCCTCATCGACTGACCCTCTCGGAACGTTGATGTCCGTCGTATCGATGCTAACCCTCTGAAAGGGGCGCTCTACATGAGTGGGCACCATCGTCCGAGGCATCTGTACGGGTGCCTTGTCCGCCGTGCAGGCCGGGCAATTTGAACGATGTATTTCACATCTTCCCGAATTCCCGACGAGTACCATCTGTTCTTTTTGATGGTTTTTTCCGTGTACTTGACCGCGAAATGGAACGCATCCTCCTCATGAGCGGCTCCTGTCCAATCGAGCCTAGCAAGAGGATGTGGAACCATCAACCAGCTAGACTCTCCGTCGTCATCGACCTTCTGTTTTTGTAACGTCGGGCCCTGCCAGCGATAGTCTTGCGCCCGCTCCGTTGTCAGGCGGCCACAAGCAGTGCGCCGCCTGAAATCTACGGTTTAAGGACCTAGGCTCAAAGACAAGTCCGTGCAATGACGGTACTCTGGTTTGACCATGCAGCAAAAATTAGGGGCACCCCGAGTACCCCTAAGATTAGATATGACGACCGTTGAGACTAGCTCTCGAAATTGATAAGAAGGACTACCTTACCGCGGCGGCGTCTATCTCAATACCGGCGACTTTAGCTTGCTTTCGGGACGGCCGCCTGCCGAACAGCAAGATGGAGATGGGCTTGGGCGTGGTTCTTTTACGCTCCACAACTGACACAGAAGTGGGGCCTCGGATATCATCAATTTTGGCATCAAAATTAAAGAAAAGAGAACTTGAATTAAAAACAAAACAAGAAAAGGAGAAAAACGGAATATTCATTAMTTTATTCAAAATCTTTGATGTTTGATTTTYAATRGGACCGCCCTCAATTATTGGRCTTTCTGACAATAGAGTGAAAAATAAGAAAGAGGGATCAAAGGCGATAAAAGAAAAAGAAAACAAAGAATTTTCGTTATYTAAMTGAATTCCATCGGAATTTATTTTTGACAGGATTGCTTTATTTTTGTTATTTTCGATAATGGAACTAAGAAATAAGGAAAATAATTAAAAATAATAAAACRAGAAGGAAACCCAYGATTATYTGATAATTAACTAATTTTTACTTGGTTATTCGTGAGGGGTGCGCCACATTGTTCCAATCCGGGTGTTGTGAGTGAGTGTGGGATGGATGCCTGGCGCGGGATTACCACCGGTGCTATTTTGCCTGGGCTTCATTGCTTGGGTGTTACCGCTGGGTGGATTCGGGCACGGTACTCTGGTTCGGTACAGGCTCGGTATTATTACAACGCATTGTTGCACGGTACGGCACCCGACACCGAGCGGTATGATAATAGTGCAGGCGGCGGTAAATCAGAGCGTTTCTTCGGAACCGGCATTGGAACGCTTGCTGGAACGGCACTGGTATGGGACTATTATCGCAATGGCATTGGCATGGGCGCTAATGAAGATTGGCACAACTATTGGCTCGGCATCGACACAAACTGGAACAGTATAGGACTATTTGACCTTGGTATTTGATGGTCCGGCGCTCTGATTTGTTTCARGGCTGCTGCAGTTCACAGTTGGCTGCATTGATAGTGGCACAACACTGAAATAGAGTACTACAGCTTGCGCTGTTCTTTTTGGGGTTCGGAGACAGAAAAAGGTGCAGGCACGTTGCCTGTGACGTTGCGCAGATTCTGGCTGCGATTCGGTATTTCGACCTTGGAATGGGCACCAGTTGGCTACTTACACAGTCTTGGAACGACAGGCCATGGCCCGGACCTGCTGGGTTTAGAAATTGGTCACTGGTTTGCCGTTGGAACAGCTACCGCAATGGACCAGGGTGCGATGACCGGTCCTGGATTGACGAGGGCAAGAAATTTTCTGGGCCTGGAGCATTGGGGCTGTAGGGACTGCGACGCGGACCGAGTCGAAGCAGGGCAGTTGGCCACAGACAATGGATATAAGGGAAGTAAACGGGTACCAGGGTTTTTTTTTTCTTCGAGGATGCGTGCCAGGCGTACCCAGCATCCCGGAAGTTGACTGAGAGAGGAGTGACGTGACGCAAGGAAGCATGCACGGTGTCCACAGCCACCGCTGCCAACGCTGGCTGAACACGACAGACACGGATGGTGAACAGCGGCGGGTGCAGCGAACGTACAGTGGTTCCATGCTGCCGCAGCGAGCGAGTGTGTCGAAACATCGGACTAGGGGTGTGCAGCGGAGATGGTGCCTGTTCGTGCCTTTCGCGGGAGCCAGCGGAGGATGAGCGTTGGTTGATTGGTTTGTATTACAACAGGATAAAGAAGTAGAAAGGAAGGTAATAGTTGGCGTGCATTGAAGACGAGGAGCAGGAGGAAGAGATGTCAAAAGGGCAAGAGGAGCAGAGAGAAGACCATTGTTGTGTGACTAGAGGTTGCCATATAAGTGAACTCTGTTCGTGCTACTGTGGGTGGCTGGTATTATCCTTTGCTTGTTCGATTGCTGAGGCCGTAGACAGAGACTTTGAGTGAAAAAAAAAAAAAAAAAAAAAAAAAAA